TGCCTGAGCGGCTTCATGGGCATGGACATCCCGCCACCCAGCGGGCCACTCTGGATCCTGGGCGACGTCTTCATCGGCCGCTACTACACCGTATTTGACCGAGACAACAACAGGGTGGGCTTCGCCCAGGCCGCCCGCGTCTAGCCCCCGAGCCGTCCACCCGCAAGCACAGAGACAGAGGAGGGCCCCGGGGGAGGAGGCCCCCAGCCTCCCCACATTATCACCCACACACTCGCCCGCCCGTTGCCCGGGTGTCCTGGAGACTGGTGGCCCAAGCCCGATCTGGTTTGTTCTGTGGCTTCCCCTCCCTGGGTTCAGAAACACTGCCTGCCTGTCCGTCTGTCCGTCTGTCCGGAGGGGTAGAGCTACTCCGAAGCACAGATCTGTTTCACGCACCTGGAAGAGCTCGGCCAAGCTTGGCAGCGGAGCGTGTACATCCTGGGGCTCCCTTCATCTCCAGGGAGTCCCCTCCTCAGCCCTACCCGAGGCCGCTGGGCTGAGCCCCCACCCCGAACCAGGCCGTCCTCCTCGACCCTCCCTTGGAAACCTGCCCTGCCCAAGGGTCCCTCTGCCCAGCTTGGGCCCAGCCGGGCTCTGCCACTCCTACCTGTCTAATGTTTTCTGGCCCGTTGAGGGTGAGGCCAGTGGAGGCCTAGGATGAGCTGGAAGGAGTGAGGGGGACAGCCCACCTTGTGGTGGCTACAAGGTGGTTCTGGGACTCAGCCCATCCCAGGGCCATTCGGTGGCCTGTAGGTCAGGCTGGGACACGGGGCTGGCGCCTGCCTTCCTCTGCAGCTCACCCCTGCCGTCCTCCCCTTGGGCGGCCGAGAGCCCGGGCTGACCTGGAAATACAGTTGTTGGCCTCCCTCTGTGCTGCTGTGCTCTGTGCTTGGGGGTGGGGGGTGGCTCCAGCTTGAGATGGGAACAGGGTGGGTGGTGCGTAGCCGCCACATCAGGGCTGACTCAGGGCAGCTCTGAGACAAGCATTTGGGGTGCCCGGGGCCTGTGGCCCCCTGCCCATGGGCTCCGGGGCTGTGGCCAGCTGTCCAGCCTGGTCGGCTAGCGGGGACTGACTTGTTCCCAGGTCTGGAGCCGTGGCCAGCAGGATGTGGCCTTGGCTGGCGCTGCAGGGTGGGGCCGACAAGGTTTCCAGCGTGAGTGCCAGCCTGGAGGGGTAACTTCAGGGAGGTGGTCCAGCCAGGCAGCCGCGCTACTTTAACAGAGGATGCCTCTGCGCTGGGGAGCTTCAGAGCAGGCCCTCCCGGTCACTCTCCGTGCCCTTTGGGCCCTCAGTGGTGTGGCCATCTGGCCTAGCTAGGCCCTCTTGCCTGTCAGGCCCTAGTAGCAGCCTGTGTGTGGTGAGCCGAGCTGGTGCGGAGCAGGCCTGCCCAGGGTCACTGGTTTCAGGGATTAGACTCAACAAGCCCCCTCCAGCCACAAACACCCAGGCTGATTAACATGGTGCACTTGTTCCACTGGGAGGGGAGGGGTTGGGAGCATGTCTCTGGATGCGGTGGCAGCAGCCCATGGGGTTTTAAGGGATAAGTAGGAGTTTGTGGGGACGTGGTGGTAGGGAGCAGAGTTCTTTAGGATCAGTAGCTCTGGAGTCACCTGGACCCTCAAGCCCCACCCCAACAGGTTAGAAGGTGAGGCAAATGTGACATTTTCTATCCTGATGCTTCAGCCTGAGGGAGGCAGCTGCCCTGGCCTTCCTCCCCAGGGGCTTCAGGGCTTGTACCCTAGAGCCATTTGGGGGTGGACCCCTGGAGCAAGAACGTTTACCTGGGGTGGCACAGAGGCTTGGAAGCACATGCCCAGCGTTCTGCATGTCTGAAACTTGAGCAGAGCCAGGCAGAGTTCTGCAGGGCCTGGCAGGGCTTCTGGGAGACAAATGTCCTGTCATCAGATGCTCTGTGTACTGAGAGGCCCAGGAGGGCAGAGTGTGCAAGGAGGCAGCTGTGCCCTGCTGCCCCTGCCCCGTGCTGCTCCCCCCCATCGCCCTTCTCCTACAACCTATCTGCTCCTTCTAGCTCCCACCTCCATGGCTGCTGCCCTGGGGCTGCTCCAAGGGTTCTCTCTAGCCAGGCAGGATTCTCAGGGCCCTGGGGTCTGACTCCAGGCTCAAGTCCAGGCTCCTCTGTGGTTTTCTAGCTGGGTAACTGGACCCTGAGCCTGGAGTTCCCCGTCTAGACTGAGTTGGACTAGACACCTCTAGCAGAGGCAATGCTGGATCCCAGGCCCTTGGAGAGCCCAGCACAGTGACGTGAATGCTGGCTGGGCCGTGGCTCTGCCCTGCACCCCCAGCTCCCTCTCAGCAGTGTTTCCTGGCCTCGGAGCGAGGCAGCCCCAAGGTGGCCTGAGGCTAGGAGTGGGCCCTGGCTCCCCTCTCACCTACCCAGTGACCCGGGGCAGGCCCTGGTTCCTCAGGCCCAGCAATGCTCTCTTCTGCTCTTGAGGACTTCTCACTGCCTGAGGCCTCCAGGGGAGACTGGGGCAGCACTGGGCCAAGGCTCTGTTGTAGGCCAGGGTCTCCCAGAAGATGGTGGCTGGCCAGGTAGGCCCAGCACAGATGCTGGGGACACCAGGGCATGGAATGCAGGCCACACACACCTTGGGATGCTCCCAGGGGAAGCCCCGCTTGAGCACGCCAGGTCCAGGTTTCCCTGGGCCAGGTCCTTGGGCAGGAGGCAGGGGAGCTGGGGAGGGAGAACGGAACCCTGCTTCCCTGGCAGGCCCCATCTACCCATGGCCTGTGGGCTCCCAGGAAGGCATGGCTGGGGTGTCCAAGGAGACAGGGAGGAGGCTCGCTCATGCCTGGGGGTCCCTCCTGCTCGATAGGGTTTATCGTCATTTAAGATCAGCCTTGTGCTGTGGGTTCCTGGCATGCCATGGATAATGCTGTGCCAGGGGTCCGCCCAGGCATGAGGGGTGGGGACTAGGCTGGAAAAGGGAGGGGCTTGCAGAAGGCCAGGATCTTCCAGGGGATCAGGGTTCAGAGAAGGGCTCAGGGCTCAGAGCACAGAGGTTTGGGGAGAGAAAGGGTTCAGAGATGACCTGGGGTTCAGGCACAGGTGGGCAGACAGGAGCAGGACCAGGCTTCCAATTAGGAAAGCGGGTCTCGGACACAGGAGGCCAATTGAGAGTGGCAGAGGAGAAGGGAGTTTCATAGGAGGAAGGAGCTTGGGGAGAGATGAGGGAGGGAATGGAGGTCACCGTGCATCCTCAGCTTCCGGGGGACTTTGGAGAGGGTCAGGGCTCAGTGGAAGCCGGAGGTTGGTGAAGAGGACCCAGCTCAGGGCACCTGTGTGGTGAAGTGGGGAGCTGGGAGGGAGAAAGGGAAGGCTGGGGTTTTCTCCATGGGGAGGGACTCATGGGGACAGTTACGGGGATGGAATATCAGCTGGGGTCAAGCGTACTGAGTGTGAGGACATGGTGGGGAAGCCGAGGCGCTGAGGCTGGGAGCCCAGGCATTGGTTAGGAGACATGATATGCAGGGGGCAAAGCATCCTTAGGGGACCAGGCCCAGAAGGGCTGGTCAGGATCGCAGAGAGGCTGTGGGCAGGTGAGTGCACGAATCTCCAGGGAGACAAGGACCTCAGCAGCACGGGGGACCAGAGTTCGAAACGGGACGCTTTGCCCTGCAGGCAGAGGGAGCATGCTGGGGTCTGTACAGGAGAGATCACATGCTCCCCGAAATCTGGGAGTGACCTGGAGTGGGGCCCTGGGCTGGGTGAAGTCAGACTCCAGGAAAGGGGACAGGAGCTCCAGTGGGCAGTAGTGGGCTCAGCAAGGAAGGAACAGAGTAGGAGACCCTGAAACTTCACAGAGGGCCTGGACTCGGTAGACTAAGGAGGGAAGGGACTGGAGGGTGGCCTTGGGGGCCTTGGGGACAGGACTGGGCAGAGATGGGCACTCAGGTAGGGGGCCTGCTGGGGCTCAGGGTTTCTTAAGGAGGGGACTGAGCTGCCGGCACTGAGAGCCAAAGGGGCCTGGGAGGCAGCAGGGACCCGGCGCTGGGGTGAAGCGCGATCGGGAGACCGGGGAGAGGAAGGGGTCTCTCTTGGGGAGGCAGATTGGGAGGGTTCGGGGAGCGGTCCATCTTCCAAGGGGCTGGGGGATCCACGAAGGGAATAGGGTCGTGTGGGGAGGGGAGGAAGGCTCACTGGGTCCGGGGAGATGCAGGTGGCGTGGGCACCCTGGTCAGGCGCTGTAGGGGTCCCATCCCTGAGGCACCTTGCAACTCCCCAGGGTCGCGGCTTCCGGGGCCGCGGTCCCCACCCTCCCAGCAGGAGGAGACGGGAGGCGGGGAGGTGGCTGCGCCCTCCGCCGCTGCTGCCGCCGTGAGTCAGGCTCTGGGCTGCAGCCGCGCGGCTGGCCTGGCGCTGCGGAGGGAGCGCAGGCGGCGGGGGAGGCAGTGGCGCCGCCGCCTAGCCCCGCGCGCTCCCCACCCCCTCAAGGTTGGGCCGCTGGGACCCGGATCCGTGGACAGACAGCAGCCCGCGGGACGGCGGAAGGACGCGCACCGAGGCGCAGAGGTCCGGCCGCCCGCCCGCCGAGGAGTCGCCTGTAGGTGAGGAGGCGCCGTCCGGGCGGCTGCGGCAGACCTGGGTCGGGCTGGGGGCCGCAGAGCCTTGGCCGCAGACCCCCCGGCGCGCGCCGCACGGGCACTGGGCAAGCGGGTGGCGCAGGGCGCGGGCGACTGGGTGCCTCGTTGGAGAATGGGGTGGGTGTCTGTTTGTGGCCCGGTGGCGCTTGGCTCCGGGCGAGTGTGTGCGCTCGGGGTCCGCGGGTTGGAGGTGGGGGACAGTGCGCGCGAGTGGGAGACCCCGCACCTGTGCCGGCTCTCGGCGCTCGTGGCTAAGCCTGCGTCGCCCGGCTTGGGGAATTGTTTACTCGGCAGCGGCGGCTCTGAGCGCCCGCGGGTGCTCCCGGGGTCTGGAGAGCCCGTGGTGGAGCGGGTGGCGGGATCGAGTGTCCGCGGGCGCCGTGTGCGGGTGCTTTGGCCTCGCTCTGCCGGTTGGCGGCCGAAGCAGCGGCGCTGTGGGTCCGGCGCCCGCCCGTGCGGAGCTGTTTGGGGTACCAGGGCGTGCGCTGTTTTGCAAGTGTCAGTCCCAGCGTCGGTGTGCTTCTGAGGGGGGGTGCTGGTGTGCGTGTCAGTGGGTGAGTGTTTGTGCGCAGATGGCAAAGGGATGAAAGCCCCAGGTCCCTGCCAAGGCTGCTGCGAAGGGCTTTGGCATCGTCAGTGGCCGCCGCTGCCCGGGGCGGGTGGGGGAGGCAGGTGGCAGGCTAGCAGCTGGTGGCCCCCGCAGGGATTTCCGTCTCTACTGGGGCTGTTCTCGGGGCTGCCGGGCGTGAGGGTAGGTGCTGGCCGGTGGGCCAGGCCCAGCTCGTTCTCACTCGCTCCTTCCCTCCAGGCCCAGGGCCCCGGCTAGTGCCCAGCCCCGCTGGGAGCCCCGGCCAGCACCACGGACGGCGCCCAGGAAGCCCGAGTCCCCCTGGACGGGGCCTTCTGGATTCCGAGGCCCCCCGCAGGTTCGCCCAAGGGCTGCTTCGCTTGCGTGTCCAAGCCTCCCGCCCTTCAGGCTCCAGCGGCCCCTGCCCCTGAGCCCTCTGCCTCTCCCCCGATGGCGCCCACACTGTTCCCCATGGAGTCCAAGAGCAGCAAGACCGACAGCGTTCGGGCTGCCGGAGCTCCCCCGGCCTGCAAGCACCTTGCCGAGAAGAAGACGATGACCAACCCCACTACCGTCATCGAGGTCTACCCGGACACCACCGAGGTGAACGACTATTACCTGTGGTCCATCTTCAACTTCGTCTACCTCAACTTCTGCTGCCTGGGCTTCATCGCCTTGGCCTACTCTCTCAAAGTGAGCCTGGGCTATGGCCGCAGGGGCAAGGGCGGGCTGGAGAGGTGGGGTGACAGGACAGTCCCTGGCTGGGGGTGCTCGACCCCTCTCCCTCTCAGAGGAGCCCACGGGTAGGGCAGGAGCAGTTGAGGGGCTGAGGGGTCAAAGGACAGTGACGGGTCCTGATGGTGTGGCCCAGAGAGGTCGGAGCGCTGGCTCGGTCTGGAAGGCAGGGGTCTGCCCTTCCCTCTCCTGAGCCATTAGGGCCTAGCTTTCTGCTCAGTCAGCTCAGCGGAACCTGTAGGAGGGGTGGGTAGGGATTCAGGCTCAGGGGACATGGGACAGACCTGGACAGCAGCCACCCCTTGGTGTACAGGGATGGGGCCAACATGGGGCTGAAGAGGGCTTGGAGTCCTCCCCTTGCAGAAAGGAAAAGAGGCCACCTTCTTATCTGGCTCCTCACCCGGGAGCCCAAGGGTGGGTACTTAGGCAGCTCAGCCCAGCCCTCCTTGGAAGCCAGTGCTGGGTGGCCAGGGTGGCCCAGGGAAGGAGGTGTCAACATATCCTATGCCTTCCCAGGCCCCACCCTGAGAGGGCATGGCTTCCAGAAGCCCCCTCTGTGCTGCGAGAATAGCTGGCTGGGAGCAGAGCAGGTGCTGGGCAGACGTGACCCTGTCGCACCGAGGGCAGGTGGAGCGAAAGGGACCGAGGTGGTGGGAGGGGAGCCGAGATGGGCTCACACTGAGGGGGCAGCCCCGTGTAAGTGTGTCCAGTGCTGGAGCCCTTCCTGGGGGAGGGAGTGTGAAGGTGAGGGCAGGCCGGTGCCCTCCTCCCCACCCTGACGCACCGGAAGGAAGGGCTTGGCTCACGTTTAGCCTGATCATCACATTTCCCCAGCCCAGTGGCCAAGGCCAGATGTACTCCACTGATGCAGCTGCCCTGCAGGGTGGGGGGACGACGGGGGATGTGGGGAGGGAAGAGGCTGGGCAGAGGCTGGCTGGGAGGAAGGATGCCTGGCCAGCTTCACTTCTGCTCCATCCTTGAGCTCAGCCCCACCCCACCTGGCATCACAACTGGCCCCGGCTTTCCCGTCCTGCTCCTGAGTCATCATCATTACCAGACCCAGTGTTGCCCACTGGCACGTGCCTTCCTCCCCTCGGGCCTGAGGACCCATCCCTGGGCTCTACCACAGGGGCCTGTGTGTGGGCATGTGCCAGTGTGCATGTACTCGCGAGGGTGAAATTGCATAAATGGGCATGTACTGAGTGTAACTGTGTGTGTGTGCATGTGAATGCATGGTGTGCATGAGTGTGTACATATATTTTGTGCATATGTGTGCATGTGTATGTGTGCAGACATGAGTGTATTTGCATGTGTGTGCACATGTGCATGTATATGTGTGCAATCACACTTGAGTGTGCATGGTTTGTGTAAATGTGTGTGCACAGTATGTGTGCATCTGTGGTGTGTGAGTGTATGTACCTGAGTGTGTGCATGTGTGTAATCGCACGCGAGTGTGCATGGTATGTGTAAATGTGTGTGCACAAGTGTGTGAGGGCATGTGTGATGTGTACCTTTGTTCATGTATGTAACCACACTTGAGTGTGCATGGTGTGTGTAAATGTGCGTGCATAAGTGTGTGAGGGCATGTGTGATGTGTACCTTTGTGTATGTGTGTAACTGCACGAGTGTGCATGGTGTGTGTAAATGTGTGTGCACAAGCGAGGGCATGTGTGATGTGTACCTTTATGCATGTGTAACTGCGCAAGTGTGCATGTGTGTAAATGTGTGTGCACAAATTGTGTGTTCATGTGTGGTGTGTGTATGTAGTTGTGCATGTGTGTGCAATCACATGAGTGTGCATGGCATATAAATGTATGTGCACAAGTATGAGGATGTGTGTGTGTGTGGTGTATGTACTTGAGTGTGCATATGTGTGTAATCTCGTGTGCATGCTGTGTGTAAATGTGTGCGTGCATGTGTGGTGTAAGTGTATGTATCTGTGTGCATGTGTGTGTAATTGCATGAGTGTGCGTATGTGTAAATGTGTGTGCACAGTAAGGATGTGTGTGGTGCATGTACCTGATTATGCATGTGTGTGTAATCACACATGAGTGTGTATGGTGCATGTAAATGTGTGTGTACAAGTGTGTGACAGCATGTGTGTGTGGTGAGTGTATGTTCCTGCACGCACACGTGCATGCATGCGTGCGTGTGGAGAAGCAACAAAGGAAAGGGGCCCCTGGAACTAGGGGTCCTGCCTCTGACCAGCTCCAGCTCTGGCTCCCCAGACCGATCCTGAGCAGAGAGCGCCATTGCTGGGGGGCTGAAGCCGCAGTTGGTGGAGCTCTGCCTCCCCTCTCTGTGCCCTGCCAGCAGCCTGCGGACATGGGTCTGGCTGCCTGGACTCCCGTCCGGAAGCCGTCCCTCCTCCCCCTTGGCTCAGGCTGTGGCTGGCCGGCTGGCATGGGGCAGGCCCATCTGGCTCGGGTTGTAGGTAGGTCAGGGGTTTCTGCAGGGGTTGGGGGTGCTGTGAGGTTGACTTTTCTGAGGGGCAGGGACTGCTCATTGCACCTTCTCCCGGGGCTGCTCCTCGTGTGTCCTTCCTGCCGGTGGCGGGGGCAGCGAGTGCAGAGAGGTCTTGGGGCATACCTGGGAGTGGTTGCAAGATGAGCTGCCTCCATCCTGGGCAGGAGGATGGAACTTGCTGGCTGTGGAGCCCACACCTGAGAATGCATCCATCTGGTCACCCAGCTGCAGGTCTCCTGACCAGCACCCTACACCAAGGGCATGGGGTGGACTTGGGGTCAGAAGGTCTTGGCTAAAATCTGAGCTCTTGGGACAGACAAGCCATCTTGCCCCTCTGAGCCCCTGTTCCCTCATCTGTTCACAAAACAGAAACAAAACAACATTCAAGCCAACTCGTGTGAGCTGGGCGAAGGCTGGCATGCAGTGGTGTGAAATAAACACTGTGTCCTTGCCTGCCCCCACGTGTCCATCCACCCATCGAGCCATCCATCCACCCCCCCACCCACATAGGCCAATTCAGCTCCACGCAGGCTGGATCTGCAGCGCAGAGACCGAAGCCTTATTTTGCACAGCCTGGTATCCAGGGGAGGCAGAGATACAAAAAGTCAATTCTCCACTCTTGCCACCTGCACAAGCCGCCTGCTGATGGCCACTGGCTCCCGTGGTCAGCCAGATGATGGCCAAGTGTCTCATCTCACTGTTCAAGCCCCATTTTTAACCCTTCTGGCCTCAGCAGTTCCCTGCCCTGGTCACTTGGCAAATGTGACATGAGCGATGTGCACAGCCTGGTTTGCATATGCACATTCTCTGCCTGGAGAGCTTTTGTGAGATCTGGGTCTTTCTTCTGCAAAGCCTCCAGAGACAGTCCTGCCCCAGCCACATCTGCTCACCCCCGCTGACCTGTGCCCAAGGCAGAGCTGGCTGACAGACGGGTCAAGACCTGCTGGTTGAATGGGTGGGCGAGATGGAAGAAGACCACAGTGTTTCAGAAAAGAAATACTTGATTTCCAGCTTGGGGTGAGGCTGGGAGACTTCTAGGAGGAGGCAGCATTTTCACTGGGCCTTGAAGGATGGCGAGGGGAAAGGTGTTTCAGCAGGGAAAGAGCATAAACCGAGACACATAGGTGTAGCAGCCTGGTCTGTGGGCAAGGCTCCTGTCCTCGCTGGGAAATGGAAGACAGTCCTGGAAAAGCGTCTGAGGCAGTGCAGTGAGGCGTTTAGAAACCTCGCGAGGGGCTGGGCTCTCATCTGTGGGACACACGGAAGAGAGGGATACAATCAGTGCCATGAAATCTGCAACCAGTGTAGGGGAAGGGGACAAGACAGGCCTCGAGGCAGAGGGTTCAAGCCCTGGTATGGTGGTCCAGGTGGGAGAGCATGTGAGTTGGGAATGGGGGTGGGAGGGGAGGAACAGGTGTGGCTAGGACACAGCAGCTGCTAGATGTGAGCCCAGGAGGCTGTGAGACCTCCCAGTGACAGGACAGTGAGAAAGAACAGGTGTGTGGGTTTTGCACTGGGTTTTGGGTGTACACACTCGCCCACTCCTTTCTGAATGTCAGCGTCATGCATTCGTCTTTCCCATCCTCCATTCATTCATCATTCTTCCATTCACTCATCTTCCATCCATCCATCCTCCATCTGTCCATCCAA